TGAGACCTTGAACTAGTTCTTCCTCTATTATATGTAGAGGTAGAGCCAGAATGAGTCTTAGCCTTTCCATCCTTCTTAGGAGAGTTTTTTCCTTGTAGAAGTTGATGCACCTCAAAAGTCTGCTTTTTCTTTTTCCTGGTTTTCTGAATTTACCAATCCTCTTCCAAAGCCTGTTGCAAATCAATGACATCAGCCTCAGCAATGCTAGGAGTAGCCTCATTGATCAGGGAACTTTTCATCACATTCTTTTTTCTTGCTTTCTGACTTTGTCAATCTTCTCCCAAAGCCTACTGCACTTCAACAGTAGCAGCTTCAATAATTCTAGTGTCATCCTCAGTGATCAAGGGATTTTTCAGAGCACATTTCCCTTTTCCAACAAGTGCGGGGAAGGAGGGGTAATAATACTGATTTCATTAGGTTCTACCCTCTCCACACAACCTGGAGAAGTTTCCAAGTTATTTTGGGGTTCTGACAATTCCCCCAATGGATCACCAGAGGGGAAAGTGGCAGAAGGATTTGTGTTCTTAACAGAAAGAGTTTTACTGGTTTGCCTGACAGCATCGCTGTGATTAAATGTAGTGATATTATTGCTTTGTCCCTGATTAGAAACCTAACTAGCTACCCTTGAATTCATAGCGAGTTTTTTTTGTAGGGGATGGAGCTTATAGCATTTCTTAATAGTGTGGCTGAACATTTTACAGTGTTGGCAGTAAAAAGGCTTTTGTTCAGTAGTTATATCTTGCTGAAACCCCTCTGCATCAGAACCAATCCATATCCTTTTTATCTCAAGGAGGGTTATGTCTCTTTCCACCTGAATTCTAGCAAGAGCAGGTCTTGCCTTATTGAAAGTAGGAGCATCAACCTTGAGGGGAGTACCTAGTGCTCTCCTTATATTAAAAAGTGCATTAAGCTTGAAGTAAGGTAATGAAAGACCAGGTAGCTTAAACCAAACTGGGACCACAGGAGGCTCCTTAGTTGGCTCAAAATCTCTAGTCCATTTCTGGATTTTCATTGTAACGCCTACTATAGAAACAGCTTGTTTAGAAAATAGCCTAGCATAATCTTCTTCCATTGAGAGTTGGATAAAAAGATGTCTACCATCTATCAAACCAAGCTTCCATTGTCCAATGAAATTTAGAGAATCAAAGAAACTTCTAACAAGGTCCATTTTGGGATGACCCAACTGGAATTTTCCAACAAGAGTGAATCTGACTTCTTCATTCAGTGAAGCAATTTCAGCTGCAGAGAAGTAGACTGCAGTTTCTCCATCTTTGAAGCCAAGGGGGTGAATGCAAGGGCAAATCCCTTTGCCAACAGCAGCATTATGAAATTCCTGAGGGAAAATTAAATTTGTAGGATCTTGGAGAGTGTCATTATCTCTTCCAACAATCCCTGCATAAGTAGCCTTAGTCAAACTGGAATCAGTGTGAACATCAATGAGGGTGGCCATAACACCAGCCACAAAGAAAAACCCAGAAACTTTTGAGTAGAGAAAAAGAAAGCAGTACAGAATTCAGGAGGCCAGCAGAAAAACCAGAGAATTTAGGAGGCCTCCAATGGAACAGTAAAAAAGCCACCAACCAGGAAAAACCAAAGAAGCAGTAAAAGAACCACCACAGCCTAAGAAAGGAGTGATAGAGATAAACTTCAAAGTGTAGGAGGAGGAGAAAAAGGCACTCTGAAGAAAGAAATAGCCCCAGAAACACCTCCAGCAGCTCACCATGTTGCCAGAAACCCTAGCAGAGCACTTCCCTCCTTAGCCGCCAGCATCATTTTTCAGTTCTCTTAGCTCTAAACAAGAAGAACTGAAAAAAGGAAAGGAAAAGTAATTAGTCTTAATTGAAGATCATAGCACCCAAAGAAGAGGAAGCAAACTAAGGGGAAGGACTAGATCCAGATCGCAACCCTCCACCTGCCCTCCCTCACCATGATCAACATGTTATGTTGGAATATAAGGGGGATAGCAAACCCCCTATCTTTAAAAAGATGAAAATATCTAAATAAAAAATACAAATTCTGGTGCTTAGCCATTTTGGAACCCATGGTTCATGTTAACACAAAGAACATAGCAAATATGTTTCCTGGATTTAATCTCTTCACTAACCTCAATAACAAAATTTGGGTTTTCTACAGGAAAGAAATGAAGTGCTCTATCTTAGTTAACCATCAACAAATTCTTCATATGAACATTAGTACTGAAGGAATTGATGGATTTGCCTCTTTTATTTATGCAGGAAGCTCTAAAGCAGCTAGATCTGAGCTGTGGGAGACATTTCAGCAGTGGGAGTCAGCACATTCAAGGTTCTATTGATAAAGCTTGGATTGTGGGAGGAGACTTCAACTGTATTTCATCACCTACTAAAAGGAGGGGGGTAGAACCCCCAATCCTGTCATCATGTCAAATTTCAATGACAACATTTAAAGCACTGGTTTATTTGATATGGGATACAGTGGACCTGCCTTCACATGGAGAAGGAAGAACCTGTGGGAAAGACTGGATAGAGTCTTAGCAAATGATAACTGGATCCATAACTTTTTGTAGACTACACATTTAAGCCTTATTGGATCTGATCACAGACCTTTGGTTATCACCATTGGCTCAAAGAGCTGTTGTCAAAAGGGTGCTTTTAGATACCTGTATGTGTGGTCACAGCACAAGGACTTCTTACAAGTGGTTAAGGAGAACTGGAAAAATGAGTCACATCCTAACCCTTTCACCTGCTTGTGGCAAAAGCAAAAAAAGTTAGGTAATGCCCTCAAAAAGTGGAGTTGGACCACTTTTAGAGATCTGATGAAGGCTTTGGATAAGGCTGAACAGGAGTTGCAGACTCTGGAGGAGGAACACAGCAAAGGAAATATTGATGAGAACTCCCTTTTAGAGGCCAATGAGAAAGTTCTTGCTGCTATAAATTGGCAAGACGAGTACCTTAAACAAAAAGCTTCCAAAACTAAATTCACTGAAGGGGGTAGAAACACAAAATTCTATCATGCCTGCATCAATTATCAGAGGAAATGCAGGAAATGTCACTGCATTAAAGATCAGAATGGTAACTGGATTAGGAAGGAGGAGGAGATTGCTGAAAGTGTTGTGCTATATTGCCAAAAACTCATGAAGGATGATACTACTGATAGAGGACATATAGATGAACACTTGTTCTCAAAAAGTAAAAACTTTACTGCTAATTTAAAGCTGACTGATATTCCTGAGGAGGAGGAGATTAAGAAAGCCTTGTTGTCCATTGACAGCAGTAAATCAGCTTGTCCTGATGGATTTACTGTTGATTTCTACAAAAAAGCTTGAGGGGCGATCAAGGTGGAGACTATACAAGCTATTCAACACTTTTTCAAAGGCCACCCTCTCCCTAATTACTTCAATGCTTCTTCAATTGTTTTCATTCCAAGGAAATCTATCAAAAACTGTTGGAGTCACTTCAGAACCATAAGTCTTACCAATGTGTTCAGCAAAATTATCAGTAAAATTCTGGTGAGCAAACTCCAACCAGTTCTACCCCAGCTGATCAGCATCAATCAAGCAGCTTTTGTGAAAGGGAGAAGTATAGGGGACCAAATATTATTAGCTCAAGAACTATTACAAGACTTGGAGAGACCTTGCAGAGGAGGAAATATTATTTATAAACTGGATCTAAAGAAGGCTTATGATATGGTAAATTGGGAATTTATCATGGAATGTTTGGAGGCTAGAGGTTTCTCAGGGGAGTTCTGTCAGACCATTAAAAGATGGTTAGGGCAAATTCCAACTCAGTCCTCATAAATGGGAAAGCTCATGGTTTTTTCCAAGCAAATATAGGCCTTAAACAAGGTGACCCTCTCTCCCCAACTATTTTCATTCTGGTCTTAGATTACCTAACAAAACTCATAGATGGCTAGGGGAAAAGGAATAGACTCAATGTATATCACAACAAAGCTAAGATGGATATAAGCCACCTTATCTATGTTGATGACATCCTACAAGGGCCACAAGGGCTACCAAGGGTGCAACTAGATACCTTGATGAGTGTTTGAACAAGTTCCAACAAGTATCTAGGCTGAAAGTAATTAAAGAAAAATCCCAATTTCTAACTAGCAAGAGAGTTCCTATTCCAATCAGGTAGTGGATTGAAGAATTCACAGGCTTTTTCTACCATGAGCATCCCTTTTAATTATCTTGGCACCCAATTAGTCAGAGGTAGAATCAAACAGACACAGTTTGATGAGGTTATAGACAAAATCAATTCCATCCTTCAGGGGTGGACTAACTCTTTCTTATCCAATGGGGACCCTTCTAAAGAGCATCCTCACATCTATCCCCCTCTATACCCTCCAAGTGGCTAACATGAAAAGAAGCACTACTTTGATGTTGGAGAGAACTTTAAACAGATTTCTTTGGGCTGGGAATAGGAAGCAAATGACTTGGGATAGCTGGAAAAGAGTGGCTAAACCTTATGAAGCTGGAGGTTTGGGTTTTAAAGGTCTACATCATATGCAACAAACTAGCATGTGTAAACTTTGGATCAGATTTAGACAAAATGAAATCCTATGGGCTAACTTCATGATGGCTATATATTGTAAAAATGTTCACCCTGGAGAGGTTAACAAGAAGGTTAGAGACTCCAAGATTTTGGACACATATGCTAAAGGGGAGAGAGGAGATTGGCAAATATCTTATCTGGGAGCTGGAAAAGGGAGAGATCAATTTCTGGAAGGATAACTGGTGCCCTACTGATCAACTGGAGCCCCTATAGAATGGAAAAGATGAAGAATTACTGGTCAAATACTGTTGGAATGGAAATGAGTGGTCTGAGGATGCTTTAAACAAAGTCCTAAAAGATTATGCTGCTAAAAGTATCTCTAAAATCCAGTTTGATAGAAATAGAAAAGATCAAATTCAGCTAATCAAAAGAACCAGATCTAGCATTTCAAAGGACATTTATAACAGCTTATTCAAATGGGAAGATTGCAAGTGGAATATTAGCAAGTGCCAAAAATTCTTAACCCCTTCCATGGTGTTCTTTTCTTGGAGAATCCTAAATGATTTAATCCCAACAGATGACATATTGAATCTGAAAGGTTTAAAAGTCCCTTCAAGATGTCACCTATGCAAAAACAACCAAGAATCCAGTGATCACCTCTTTTTCAGATGCAATTTTGCTAGGGAGGTTTGGAATCAGCTGATATCTAACAGTAACCTAAACCTGTTGAATGTGGGCTGGGGAAATTTGAAAGACAGCTTGAGAGACTGGCAGGAAATAAACCTGATGCCTCTTCCGTTCATTGTTGCTTGGTTTATTTGGAATGCTAGGAACAAGTTGAAGCATGAGGACAGTGTGTCTCCTTTTTCTTTTGTGGCAGCTAACTGTCGGGCCTATTTACATAAGCTGATAAATTGGAAGAAATTCCCTCAAATTTTGAAGGTCATGAACAAGATTGATACCCAAAATCCTATGGTTATTAAGGTTAGACGGGAGAAGCCCCCTTACCCTTTCATTAAAATAAACACAGATGGAAGCTTCACAAATAAGAAAGCTGGTATTGGAGGAATCTTCAGAGATCACACAAGCAAAGCTTTGCTCTATTTCAAGGCCCCCTATATTACAGAAGATGCTTTGGAAACTGAAGCTGCTGGCCTTTATTGGGCATTAAAAATTGCCAAGGATGTCAAGTGGTTGTGCTTCATTGCTAAAGTGGACTCTTCACACCTGGTGGAGCTAATCACTGACACCTCTTCCTCCCCATGGCACATCAACCAGTGGATCTATAGAATAAAGAAGATCATTACTGAGATCAAGTTCCAAATTAAGTTTAATTATAGGGAAGCTAACAGGCCTGCTAATTTCTTAGCTTTGGAAGGCTCAAACTTGAGTCATGCAGTGGTCTCAACTATTATCCCTCTCCCTCTACAACTCTTAACACAAGGAGACAAACTTCAAATCCCTTATCTCAGAATTCAAAACTGAAATCTCGGGCTCCCCTCTGAAGCTTCAACTCTTTTACTGATCAAGCTGGCTATCCATCTACTATTCCCTATCTTGTTGATTGGGTCTTGATGTTTGCTTAAGGCATGTATTTATATATTTGGATATTACATATATATTTAGATATTTAGAGTCTGTTTTAGCTTCCTTTTGCTAGAGTCAAACATGTCTGAGGTTGTGTATCCCTTGGAGGGTGCTATGTGAGTTTTTGTTTGAGTTAGGGAACCCTTCCTCATTTTGTAATCACTTTTATTATCAACATGTAAGCAGCCAAATAATGCTCCTTTCACCTATATATATATATATATATATATATATTATATATATATATATATATGTTGGTTTCCACCCATAAAGCGCTTGGTTTAACGTTGTCAGCCTGACGTAACTTTTTTTAGTCAGGATGAATTAACATTAAAACTTCTTTAAATTTTGGTATGTGTCCTTCATAATAATGTTTTAATCGATTCCCATTAATTTTAAATATTTTTTCTAGTTTTAGGATCATTAATAAAAACAGTTCTATAATGATAGACTTTATCACTTTAAATGGTCCTAACTATGTGGATTTCAGTTTTCCAGGAAATAATCTTAATCTTATATTATATAACAGAACTTCTTATCGAATTTAAAACTTCTTGTTAATAATCTTCCAATCATGCCATATTTTCATTTTCTTTTTTTAGATTCTTGTAAAATCATATGCTTCATTTTTAATCTCTTCAAGTTCATTGAGTTGCAATAATCTTTTCTCACCAATATATTTTAGATTAAAATTTATCTCTTTAATTACCCAAAATGCTTTATGCTCCAATTCTACTGGTAAGTGGCATGTTTTTTTCAATAATGCTCCAATTCTACTGGTAAGTGGCATGTTTTTTTCAAAAATAAGTCTATATGGGGACATTCTTATCGGAGTCTTATAAGCAGTTCTGTATGCCCATAATACAGTATTTAATTGAACAGACCAATTCAATTTATAGGGATTTACAGTTTTTTTCTAAAATTCATTTTATTTCACGATTTGATATTTTTGCTAGGCCGTTGGTCTGAGGATGATAGGCAGTAGAGAATCTATGTATAATATCATTTTTTTTATCAATTTCTTGATTCTCTTATTTATAAAATAGGATCCTCTATCTGTAATAATTACTCTCAGCATTCCATATCTTTTAAAAATATTTTTATCTAAAAATTTAAAAACACATCGAGCATCACATTTAGGTACAACAATAGCTTCAATCCATTTGGACATATAATCAATAGCAAGTAATGTATATAAGTTTCTAAATAAAGGCATAAATGGTCCCATAAAATCTAATCCCCACACATAAAAAATTTCAACTTCCAATGTGTAATTTAGATGCATTTAATTTCTTCTAAAAATATTTCCTACTCGCTGACATTGAACTCATGTTTTAATATATTTATTAACATCTCTAAAAAGAGTGGGCCAATAAAATCCAGCTTGCAAAATTTTATAAATAGTTCTATTTTTTGCAAAATATCCTCCAATTTCAAAATCATGACATCTTTCAATTATTTGTTGAGTTTCTTCACAAGACACACACCTTCTAATAATTAGAACTTTACATTGTTTTTATAAATATGGGTCATCCCAAAAATAGAATTTTGAATCATATATAATTTTCTTTAATTTTTTATTCTTAATATTTGGTGGTAGAATATCACTTGTAATATAATTTACTATATTTGAATACCATGGTGTATTTATTTCATCAATACTATATAATTGTTCATTGGAGAAATTTTCTTAAATTTTATTTGCAAAATTAGTTAGTATTTCTTTTTCTAGTCAAATGATCAGCTATTTGATTATCATTTCCCTTTCTATCAACTACAGTAAAATTGAACTCTTGCAGTAGAAGTATCAATCTAATTAATCTTGGTTTAGTATCCATCTTTCGCATCAAGTATTTGCTAACAGAATGATTTGTATGCACTATACATTTAGTTCCAATCAAATAAGGTAAAAATTTTTCAAACGCATAGACATTAGCTAATAACTCTCTTTCAGTGGTAGTGTAGTTAATTTGAGCATAAGTTAGAGTTTTAAAAGCACAATATATTACATAAAAAATTTTGGCCTTTGTCCTAAAATAGCTCTAATAGCATAATCACTATCATCACACATTATTTCAAATAGTTTCTCCCAATCAGGTTGAATTTTTATAGGTGTAGTGATTAATTTTTCTTTTAATAATTCAAATACTTTTATGCATTCCTCATTAAAGTTAAATTTTGTATCTTTTTCTAAAAGTTGGCATAATGAATTAGTTATTTTTGAAAAATTTTTTATGTAACGTCTGTAGAAACGAGCATGTTCTAGAAAACTTTTTACCCCTCTGACCGTAGTCAGTGATGGTAATTTTTCAATAACTTAAATTTTTGGAGGATCTACTTCCAAGTCATTTTCAGAAATTTTATGCCAAAGTACAACTCTTCCTACAACCATAAATTGACATTTTTCTCAATTTAATACTAGGCTGATTTTTTCACGTAAATCCAGAACTTTTTCTAAATTATTTAAACATAATTCAAATGAAGTTTCGAACATAGAGAAATCATCCATAAATACTTCCATTCCAAGTTCAATCAAATTACTAAATATTGACATCATACATCTTTAAAATGTTGCATGTGCATTGCATAGTCCAAAATTCATTCTACGAAAAGCAAATATTTCGTAAGGACTTGTAAATGTTGCTTTATCTTGATCCTTAGGAGCAATCAAATTTTGATGATAACTGGTATATCCATCTACAAAGAAGTCATATTTGTTTCCAGCCAATCTATCCAACATTTGGTCTAGAAATGGTAAAGGAAAGTGATCTTTCTTGGTGGCCAGGTTTAATTTTCTATAGTTTATACAAATTTTCCAACCAGTAACTTGTCTTATTGGAATTAATTCATTTTTCTCATTTACTTCAATGGTCACTCCTCCTTTCTTTGGAACATAGTGAATTGGACTTACCCAAGCACTGTCTAAAATAGGATATATAATTCCAGCATCTAACCATTTTAAAATTTCTTTTTTAATAAATTCTTTCATAATTAGATTTAATCTCCTCTGAGGATTAACTTTAAGTTTATATTGTTCATCTAATAAAAATCTGTGCATACAAATTGAAGGGCTAATTCCTTTAATATATGTTAAAGTCCATCCAAAAGCCTTTTTATTTCTTTTTAACATTTCTATTAATTTTTTTCTTGAATTTTAGTTAACTCAAAAAATACAATAACAGGCAATGTAGATGAATCTCCTAAAAACACATATTTTAAATGAGCATGTAATACTTTCAGTTCAAGTTCAGGTGGTTTAATACTTGAAGGAAAAAGATTTTTATTATCATTTTCCAACAAATCTAAAGTTTCAAATTTGTCCTGAATATAATCTAAATTTCTTCTTTTATTTCATTCTTATTCTCACTAAATTCTTCTTGCCTTATTTTTTCTTCAAACTCTTTCTTAAATTGCTTATTACTTAGATAATCAGTAATTTCCATCCTAAAACATTCATTGTCTTTTTCTATTATAGGATATTTCATAGCTTTTGCAATATTAAATGTTACTTATTGATCATTAACTCTCATTATTAATTCTCCTTTTTGCACATCTATCAGAGCTCTCCCTGTTGTAAGAAATGATCTCCCTAAAATAATAGGTATATCTTTATCTTCTTCTATATCTAATACTATAAAGTCTACAGGGAAAATAAATTTATCCACTTTTACTATTACATCTTCTATAACTTCTTTAGGATAGTTTATTGATCGACCAGCTAACTGAAGAGTCACAGTAGTAGGGGAATCTCTCCTAATTCTAAATGTTTAAAAATTAATAGAGGCATAATAATGATACTCGCTCCTAAATCACATAAGGCTTTTTCATAAAACTTTTCACCAATTGCATAAGGTATTGTAAAACTACCAACATCTTTCAATTTTTCAGGAAGGTTTTTCTGAATAATAGCACTACACTCTTTACTAGGTGCAATGGTCTCATGATCTGCAAACTTTCTTTTCTAGTTTAATTTATTTTTCATAAACTTCACATAACTTGGCATTTGTTCTAAGGCCTCAATGAAACAATTGTTTATCGTTAATTTTTTAAGGATTTTAAAAAATATTGTAAATTGTTTGTCTTTATTCTTCTTCTTTAGTGATTAAGGAAACGGAGGAAATGGTTTTTCTAGGGGAACTTGTGTTTGTTCATTTTCATTATGGTCACTTTCCATCTCTTCCTTCTCCTCAACAACTTCAGTTTCTCTTTGAATTCTTGTTTCAACTTCTTTTCCACTTTGTAATTGAATAGCTTTAATTTGCTCCTTATTTTTATCTTTGGGATTAACTTCCATTGTACTCGAAAGATTTCCTAAAGGTCTGTTACTAAGTGCAGTAGCAATATGTCCTAATTGATTTTTAATATTTCTAAAAGCAGCTCCTTGATTTTGTATTTGATTTCCTATATTCAATATTACTTCTTCCATCATCAGCATCTTTTTCTTAACTTGTGGGTTAGGGTTAGAGTTAAATCCAGGAGGATAATAAGGTTGATAATTAGGTAATTAGGATTTCCTTGATTGGGTTGATAATTAGGATTTCCTTGATTGTTTAAATTTTTTGAAGGGTTCATTGAATTGTTATAATTATTTCAACTAAAATTACAGTGATTTTTCCATCTAGGGTTATAATAGTTAGAAGAAGGTAATGTTTCATAAGATGATTGAGTATCAATTATCTGTCCTAGTGAATTTTCCTCTAATATTGGTGGAATTTTCTCAATTATCTGTCCTAGTGAATTTTCCTCTAATATTGGTGGTATTTGAGAATATTTCACTCCAATTTGATAAATCTTTTTCGATATAGCAATCATTTGAGATGATAAAATAGACATTGCATCAGAATCATGAATACTAGCTACTCTTTTAGGATTTACCCGTTCAGAGGGCCATTAAAAAT